CCGTTCTACAGGGCCAATTGATAAAATTCAAATTGCATTTTTCATGTCTCGAAAGTGTGACTTAGGATATATATTAGATTTATATATAGCCTTGTTCTAACATAGGTATTTTGACACAAAATCGGACCTTTTTCTGAAATAACATACCATTTTTTTTCCATATTTTGATTCTATAACTCAAATTATGATTAGATATTAAATTTGGTGCAAAATTAATGGAGAAATTCAAAAATTTATCTTGGTGCAATTTTTCAGTTGCGCCGAGAATAATTCACTTGGCAAACTTCTTAATATATGGCAACCTGCTTTCACTTCCATTATGCTGAGGCGGAAAAAAAAGGCACCTCGTTCCTACCTTTTTATATCGTGCATGGGCGGAAAAAGTCACAGCATTCCTACTTTCAAATAATTTTAACAGTGTAAACCACATTTGATGTTTAGTGCTTTCAACAAATGCCAAATTTCAAAATGGGCCAATATATAAATTCACGTATATTTTCGTAAATTTTGAATAAAAAGCTCTAATTTTTTGCAGGTATGCTCAGCAATACATCTGCTTTAAGATGATTGTAAACATTTTACAGGTTATAAATCAAAATTTTGTTCAAAATATTTATAAAAATCATTTTAAAATACAAATTAAAAAAATAAATCATGAAAAATGGGTGAATTTTATTTGGAATGTTGTTGTTGTTGTATTTAATTATGGCAAAGCACACGAGGGCTATCTGCCTAAGGGGAGGGATGCCTTTTGTGGAGGACTTTCTAAGGGAAACTGGCTCGTATACACGTTACCATGGGGAAAACCACGAAAACGCCCATGCAGCCAGCCCGTTATTTGGAATGAACATGAATTTCAAAATGTGAAAAGAAGAATCAAATAAGTTTAATAAAAATATACCAAACTCAATTAACATTGAGGAGCTAATTTTTTAAAAAAAATATTTCGTGCAATTTTTAAAAAATTTGGTAGTTTGGTGCAGTTTGAGTCGTAGAAGCGAAATATGGAAAAAAATTGGCATGTCATTTCAGAAAAAAACTTGATTTTGTGTCAAAAATACCTATTTTAGAACAATGCTATATATAAATCTAATATGTATCCCAAGTCACGGTTTTGAGACATGAAAAACACAAATTGAATTTCGTCAATCGGCCCAGTAGAATGGGAGATATAGAACTATTCCCTTTTTTTCGCAGTGCACATCACAGTTGTCCCCCTTAAATATTTTAATGCCCTCCATTTGTCTATGCACCCATTAGCACCCCTATGGAAGACTCCAGCATTCACTGGTACTGGCCCCACTGGGAACTCATGGTATGCAGATCAAAAGACCAAGGTTATCACTACAAAAAATAACTCAATTTTTGACGCATGTAATAAAGATTATAATGTTTTCTTCTAAAGGTACAGATATTTTGTTAACTTGTTACTCTCTCCTAATCAGTATAATAATTAGTGATGCTGGCTACTATATTAATAGGCTTGGGTTCTAACATTGAAGAAAGATGGATGTTTGTAAATTTATATTATTTGTATGGCACGAATACATTCAAAACATTGGTTGGTTGAAGTCCTCTTGAGTGGTTGGGTGATAGGGGAAGAAATGTGGGATAGCCTCGGAATGTCCCCTGTGATGTTCTCTATCAGAAATGGACATGAGCTGCACAGTTATTGCAGTAGTATGTGTACAACCAATTCCAGTGTCCCACCCACTTGTATGACAGCACCTGCCAACTTGTTACAAACAAAATCCACCATGTGAGACTGTTCAGCACACTGGTTCAGTAAAGCGTGTTGAAGAAGAAAATAAGGATTTATCACGAAAATCCTAGAACAGAAAAAAATTACTCTTCTTCATGTTTAGAATTCAACACAGACCATCCCAAACACGTAGTGATGCAAGAATTTAAGCAACGACAATATTGTAACAGAAATTAAACAGAAAATGCTGATGTTGAAAGTTTATTGATATTGATGAATTTAAAGAAACGCAACACATGGAAAGCAAACTCCTTACCACAGCGGTGCCGAAAACTGTTAATAAATTTTGTGCATGAAAAACGAAAAACTTCAACATTTGGACATAATCTAGATTAAATTTTCTTGCAGTCAGCATCATGAAAGCAGACAATTACATATTAGTTTTGCAGACAAATATTAATTCTTCAACTACTAAACCCTTTGCCAAGTTTTATTTTAAATATGACGACGAAGATTACAATTGAGATTTCTGCAGTTTTCTATTCTACTGGATTACATTTCTCATCCTCTTCCCATTAATTTGACAGAGAAATTTGAGATAGATTTGAAAGAGAAATTTATTGATATTTATTCACATATCAATGATGTTACCACTGGTGTTCGAGTCAAAAGGAATTTTTCCTTCTAAGAAGGCTGAACAGCGCTCTTTTGCTCTAATAATTAAGATTAACATATACAAAATTGTGATTTAAAAAAATATAAACATCAAAAATAAAAATTAGCAATAAAAATAAAAACAGCATATATTTAGCAATATAATTTGGTCTACGTCATAATTTTCTTTTTATTACTGAATAACTAAACAGTACTTGCATAACAAAGTTTTTAAGTACAGTTATCTTAATTATAGTTTGCTATAAATAGTCAATTCAACCAATTTCATAGCAGTTGGGGAGGCAAAATAAAGGTACATTTTTTTTTTTTTTTTTTTTTTTTTTGTCAAAATAAATTTTTTGTTTACAATGATTAATAAGGTTACGTTTTACAGAGATAATATATATTTTAAAAAACACGGATCTGAAACAAAACATACGCAGCGTATTCAGAAACTAAGTACCGTTTCATTCGCCGTGACAGCACTGTGGTAGGCAAACCTTGTCTAAACTAGTCTTTCTTGTTCACTGACTTTCAATTGTCGCCATTTTGGTTGCTCTATGTTGTGTTTTCAGTTTGCTGTGCACATTCAAAATGTTTAAGACAATTAGTTCTCTCGCTGACTGTGAGATTCGTGCCGTGATTAAATTTTTGAACGCGAGGAATGTCGGCCTTCTGTTGTCAACGATGATTTGGTAAGGAAAGTTGATGAAGCAATTCATGAGAACAGACGCTTCACAACGACATCTCTTTCAGAGGCATTTCCACAAATTTCATGTACTGTTTTGTCCGAAATTGTGTCTGACCGCTTGAATTATCGCAAACTGTGTTCCTGATGTGTTCCAAAAATGCTCACTGATGTTCACGAAACAAAGCGACTTGGTAGTGCCCTGACATTTCTCACGCAGTACAGTGATGAGGGAGAAAACCTTTTAAAGCAAATTGTGACAGGTGATGAAACTTGGGTGTGTCATTTCACACCAGAATTGAAACAACAATCGATGGAGTGGAGACACACTCATTCTCCGAAAAACAAAAGTTCAAAATGACAATGTCATCACAAAAATCATGTGCACTGTCTTCTGGTATAGGAAAGGCGTTTTGCTTACTGAATTTCTTCCCAGAGGTGAAACCATTAATGCGGCACAATATTGTGAGACTTTAACAAAACTAAGGCGTGCCATTCAAAACAAATGAAGAGGAATGCTCAGTAAAGGAATTGTGTTGCTCCATGACAATGCTCGGCCCCATACTGCTGGCATCACTCAATCGTTAATTCGACAGTTTCATTGGGAGCAGTTCGATCACCCGCCGTACAGCCGGGACTTGGCGCCATCCGACTATCACTTGTTCCTGCACATGAAGCGCAAGCTTGGTGGCAAGTGCTTTGGATCTGACGATGACACGAAAAATGCTGTGGAGTCGTGGTTATCGAAACTGGCGGGAAGTTTCTTTGACGATGGTATACAAAAACTGGTCACCCACTATGACAAGTGTTTGATCATTGGCAGAAACTTGGTTGAAAAATAGTTTAAGACATGTATTTTCATGTAAAAATAAAATTGGATTCGAAAAAATTGCTTTACTATTTTTTTTTTTTTTTTTCAAAACGGTACTTAGTTTCCGAATACGCCTGATGTATGATTATTAGTGTATGCTAAAATTGAAAAAAGGAGGAAGAAGCACTTAACAACTGCACATAACAGTTGCTGTAATTAATTTTAATATGAATTGTTAAGAAAATTACAGCTATTTTTTACATCTCTAGAAAGATACAAAAGCATCAGCCATATCTCTGTGATTCACCAGACACCTTTTTTTGGGGAGTGGGTTGCAAGATTATCTATATTTCTTAGCAGACTAAAATTCCAGATTTCTGGAGACTCATTGCAGTAACAATTTGACTGTATATGCAAAGATATTTCTTAATGAAACAATATTTCCTTCACAACTTGCAAATTATTATTTACTCAAATTTTTACACAGATCAGAATCACATGTAAATTAAAATCTAGTATAGTTTGGTTTCAAATGCATTATCACTATGACATACAAACTGAAATGACTGAATTTTTGAGTGCTTTTATATTTAAATCTTTTAAACATACACACACACACACGCAAAAGGTTTAAACATGCATTTATTAAAATTTTTTAATTTATTTATTAAATCACCTCATTCTAATCAATTTTCATACTAGAATAGTATAAAAATCAGAAGTCAGATAATAAAATTCATACTTTTACCAATATAGATAAAAATATATTCCCTTTCATATATTTAATAAATGCCAGGATAATGATATCACTACTTTTTGGATCTTTATTATTTCTTTTCAATCTAAAAGTTCCTTTTACAATCTTTTTGCTAGTAAAATTCTAGAATTTTTAGAATACAGTTGAAAAAAATTTAAGTTTAAAAAATTCAAAAACTGATGAAGCAGATATGTTTAAAATAAAAGTTAATATAAGAGGATTTATTACAAGATTAAAATTCTATGCACTTATTTATAGTTTACTAGATTATGAGTTATTAAAGGCACATAAACTGAATATAGAATAGTAAATAGATAAATTTTTTCAACTTATTAAACATTTCTCGGTCATAACCTCAAATTAAAAATTTTAAGAGAATTATTCATACCTGTGTTTGTCCAGCTTATAGTTCTGTACACATTCATCAAATAATTTTTGATTCATTTCCATAAAAAGTTTCAAAGCATTATAGATCAATCCATGAATTGTTCTAAAATTTGTAAAAATATTTCTAATTCATCAAACTAAGTTTCTAATTTAATATATGTAAAAAATATACAATTACAGTATAATTTTTCATTATATATTACACAAAATCACTGTTCCAACAGATTGAGCTAGTCAATATAAGTTAGTTTGTATCTTGCAATAAGATTGTGAAATTTAAATAGATCATAAAGCTATATCTTATCATGCTATGTCATTAATACTGTTGTGTTTTTTTCCTCTCCTGACACCAGTTGTTACGTTATTTTCTGCATTCACATTCGAACGGGGTTCGTATGGATTTGGAGTGAATAATGACGACACTACTTAATGAAGTATCGAAACACACTTTATTAGCCAGTACTGTCAGGACAGCTCGAAAACACGTTTTACAGTCAACGATGAACTACTATAAACATGATGACACGATCAGCGACACAGCCTTCAGATTATCAGGCTATCATGGTGGAGACAGTTTCACTGCAGAGCACCAGAGTACAGCTCCCGGCTCTGCTTGGTCGTTCTCGGAACTCCACGCTCTCTCGAGACTCTCCACGCTACAACTCGTGATGCACTCGACGACACACAGAGCACGGCTCCCGACTCTTCGGTTCAGTCATTCCCGGAGCTCAACACGCTCTCTCGACGATGCACTAACCGCATTACACTAAGAGACTCCTTCGGTGAACTCGACGACCCACTGCCCAGCTGTCAACTCGATTGACTTTGCAGGGATTGATTCGCTAGATGAGACACAAACTCGATACTGACCAACTCGCACTATATGTGAGTCATTCTCACTCGCTCTCTCGACAAGGCACACTCTCAATACTACCACTCTTCGCATACCAGCAGGATTTATATAGCTTTTGGCTGGTGTTCGAGAAGATTCTGGCTAAACCGGTAAGAAATCATTCCAGAAGATTCTTCATCTGTCCATGGCATATCGCCGATTTTGTTGCCAAATGGACGATTTCTCGCCAAATGTGGCAACCCTGCATTCCCTTGCCATTTTATGGGAAACCTAAAACTGCTTTGCGGGGAAGCCATCTTACTGTGCCTCTACCTTTCGTAACAATACATTGCAGACACAGTAAAATTACATATCCTAACATGTGGTGGATGCTTAAAGAAAACTGGCTTATATTTACATTAACTACAAAAACTCCAGCGTAACCAGCCTGTTTCCTGGGGCTCAATCATCAACTCAACTTCTAATATTCAGTGATTTTTTCTGCTTGGTTGCCACTAGGTTCTTGTGACAGAGCGCTTGAATGCTGCCAGTAGCTCTTCATTATTCAACGATCTCAAAATGCTGCTCTTTCACAAATGCATAAGGTATTTTTCATTTTGTATCATAATGCTCACTGGATTACAGACACAGAGCTTGTTTGGATAAATACCTCTAGTGCAGCAATCTATATTTGCATCAGCCAGCATTCCCCAGAAGGTTGACTGTGGACCATTCAGCTGAAGATGCATACATGAGTACCTTGCTGGCAAACATGGAGGCTGACACAATTTCTGAATAAAGATGATGGACAAAACACATGCCATCCTCTACATACATATATACTGCTTATTAAAGATGTGGAAAAAGAATACATAGAAGTCTGAATAATAAATGTTCTTATAATCAGAGTTTTACAGAAGAAACATACTAATTTTGTTCCCTCCATTAAATGAAAAATGAACTATGAGTAAACACAGCATTTGCACATTAAAAATTCATAATAGCATAAGTATTAAAATATAATTTAAGAAGTTGCCTAAAAATGCTATCATTGATACTTCAGCATTTTCAATAAGACATTTATGAAATATTAATATTTAGAATAAAAATAACACACATTTACCTAATAAAGTAAAGAAATTTACATAATGAACTGTATAATAAATTAAAACGCATACTTGATGTGCAACTAATTACAGACTTTTTCGGTTAAGATTGTTTACCTTTTAAAGAAAAGAAAAGGTCTAAAGAGCAATTCAATCAAGAAATACAAAATGTGTATAACATTTAGTTATGAATACTTTTAACATAACAGATATTAAACTTAAATTTTACAAAAAACTGAATGCAGCATAGTGAGTTTTATTCTGTTAGAAGTCTGCCTGAACAAAAATTTCAACTGCACATCTGCTTTTTTAATTTCATCATCGACCTAGTTAATTTTAACATACATTTCATAATTAATTTGAACAAAATTAATTACTGAAACTGAAATGAGATTACTTTCTCATATATTTTCTACTATGCATATGAATTAAAAAAACTGCAATAAATATAGCATTTCTTTTTTCTTTTCTTTTCAAGACATAATTAACTGCATCTTAAACCTCAGTTTAATTAATATAAGATGCAAGAAATATTTTTACACATAAGTTTAATTTTTCAGTTTATTTCTAAAAAGAAAATTCAGTAAAAATCATTAAAATAACTTCTGCCATTCTTAAACCTGTTTCCTAAACTTCTGAATGGAAGTGACATGAAACAAATGCTATGTAAATCAGATACACAAGAACCCCCCCCCTTCCAAGAAAAACCTATGTAAGATAAAAGTAACTCACTTGTTCCAATGAGATTTAGAATTCCGATAAAGTGAAGGAAACATTATAGGCAACAACACAGTAGCATTGTCATTTATCAGGCTCATTATGTATTCATTATTCCAATAATACAAAGCACGCTCTGCCACCTAAAAACAAAAATGTACATTTATTATTTCTATCATGTATACTTGAAAAATATACAACACGAGATCATATGTTTTATTCATATACCTGAAAATGTGGAGAAGAAACGCATTTTGCAAGTTGCCGGAACAATGGCACCATTACTTTTGTAAATTCAGCAGGCTCAATGACATCCAAAATTTCTTCTAATTCATTTAAAAACATCACCTAAAATACATTTATTTCATATACCTATTAACACACTTCTAAAAGGATAGAACATGCAAACTATCAGTGCAGTAATCTTAGATTTAACAAAGGCAATGGCTATCAATAGAAACAAATAAAAAAATTAACTATTTTCATGCAAATGAACAAACAGAATTGAACAAACAGTATAAAATTTAAGTTAATTCTCTACATTGGTCATCAAAATTAAAGGATAATAACAGGAATAAAATGTAATTGACACTTACTTGATGTGTCAGTTACATTGAAAAAAATATTAATAGAAATTTGTACAAAAGAATCAGTTAACATAAATTACAATATTTGGCAGTTGATTATTTGCAAAATATTGAAATTAAAACCAAATTTATGGAAACTGGAAAATGATGGAAAATTAGTCATCTCTTCTGGAAATTTTTTTTCTTTAATATGGTCACTTCGGACAGATAGAGTACCTCACATCTTTATTTTATAGACTTTAACAGTGCTGATTAAGTCTTGAGAAATTGCATGCCACTCTTCGAAAAGTGCACTTTTAAACTCCTGGAGTTCTGGGGAGGAATATGGCACACTGAAATTTGGCATCCTAAGGCATCGCACACATGCTCAATCAGATTCAAGTCATGTGACTGATATATTCCATTTGCAAGTATTATGACACTACATATGCTCGATGAGGCCAAGCTTTGTCAGCCATTAGCAAAAACTCTGGGCCAACAGCACCTATAAATAGTCTAACTTGGTGTACCAATACCATGTCTACATATCTCCAAGCAGTCACAGAATATTAAAGGATATACAGCTCGGTGCGGCCATCTGTCATGATTCCTCCCCAAACCATTAAACTCCAGTCTTGGAAATTAGATATTTCACGGAGATGATAATGCAAGTGCTGGGTTTCTTCCTATCTGCAAAAACACATTTAGAATCTGTTTAGACTATATCTAGACTCGTTAGCAAACAATACTTGGGCCCAGTTGTATTGGCTTCAATGAACATGATGATGGCACCAGTTTGAACAGGCTTCCTTGGAAAGCTGGAGTGAGTGGGACACAAACTATTGGTTTTTCTCACACACAGTACAACCCATTAACCCTTTATGCAGCAGCAAAATGACTAATTCGAGTTTCTGCAGCAGTATGTAAGCCTAAAACCAAAACTCTTGTAGTTGCTTCGCCGTTTCTTTGAACCGACAATGACTGAAAACAGCATTCTGATGCAGCTGTTGCTTTTAATAGGCACTGACCAGCCTGTCTATCAATTGATCCAGTGTTTAAAAAGCAGCTCTGAACTCTTGATAAGACACTTTGAGGGACATTCAAATCTTGTAGGGTCTCCATCTGCATTTGACCTCACTCAGTTCTACCAAATATTCACCACTTTTGATGTTCACTTAAATGATACCTTTAAGTCCTAACTACCGAAGACTGATCGCTTTCGGAAACCACATTCACTTTAAACGGCACTGCAGAGAGGAATTCCAATGTGTCCACTGCACACCATATTGCCAATCATTGAATCTGTATATTTGCAATGCTATGTACGGAAGTGCAATTTTGTATTTAATTAACATAATTAATTACAGCACTGGGCATTGGTTGTAACATTAACTTACTGAGCATATTTTTCTCATTATCCTTTAATTTTGATGACTAGTGTACAAACAATACAGAAAGTAATACCTTGCTTACATTACACATGCAGAGCAAATAAAGAAGTATTAACTCATTCAATTACCAGAACAAAATGAGAATAGGCAAGAGAAATTTTAAATAGAACTATCACTATTAAATGTATACTTAATTCTACCATACCCATGAATCATATAAACTTAGTATTTCCACTGTTAATCAGGGATAGATCTATTTATACTTTATGACAAACCATTCAGTCACTAGCATATAAAATTAACATTAAAAAATTATGACTTATGTATAATATTTAGAATGCATCCATGTCCTTTACACAGATTAAGCAATTTAATGAAAATTCTTTCCATACATTATACTAATTTTAATAGCATTTGTGGATACTTATCAATCAACACCACTACCATACACTTCGATGCATAAAGCATTTAACCCCCCCCCACTTACAGAATACTTTCCCATAAATTAAAAGCCATTTGCGAGTTTCCAACAGAGCTAAAATACAGTACAAAGTCCATAATCCGGACTTCGGTGATTCCGGATTAGGGTTTTTTCCGTATTATAGATCATGAATTTAAATCTGGTAAGATGGCATGCAGAAATTATACAATTAAAAATATGAAACCATAATTTATGAAATAAAGAGCAAATATGATCTAAAAATATCAAAATTTACAAAAAAAAAAAAAAAAAAAAAAAAAAAAAAAAACTTAATATTTATTTGTTCATTTTAGTAAACATTTCTATCAATGTAAGTTGTTTAAGTGTCTTCGTTTTTTATGCTAATACTTTCTGTTTAATTTTATAAACAGATATAATTTCTTTTTCAGTTATAAACTTCCACTGTTCAAGTTCTGTAATTGCTGTTTCGAGAATACCGACTAACTTGTCGATTGAAATATTTTCGTTTTCAATAACGTTCTCTGTTACTTTCTTCACTATTGGAAGCGCGCATGGGTAAATGCTTTACCGGCTTTATGCGCATGCGCAAGTTTGTGGCTTTAAGGTCCGGATTACAGATCATTCCAGATAATGGACGTCTGGAATAGAGACTTTGTACCATATTACACTTTTGATTTTTTTTAGAAAAATAACTTTACCTTTTACTTTTTTGAAGCATAGGTTTAAGAGTATTTATTAGAGACAGAGGTTTATGTTATATACTGAAGAGCCCAAAAAATTGGTATAGGTATACATATGTAAATACCAGAGGTATGGGACCAATCACAATAAAGTGCAACGGTCAGTAACTACTATATAAGACAGGTGTTTGGAAAAGTTGTTAGATCAGTTACTGATCCTACAATGGCAGGTTATCAAGATTTAAGCAAGCTTGAATGTGGTACTGTAGTTGGTGCACGGGTGATGGGAGATAACGTCTTCGAAGTAGTGATAAAATTTGGATTTTCATGTATAACTCTTTCACAAGTGTACCATGAATATCGGGAATTTGGTAAAACATCAAATCTTTGACATCGCTGTGACCAGAAAAAGCTTGCCAAAGAAAGGGACCAATGACAACTGACAATGATAATTAAACATGACAGACATCCAACCCTCTCTCAAACTGCTGCAGATTTCAAAGCGGGGGCATCAACAAGTGCCAGCCATTATCAATATAGGCTTTTAAAGCAGTAGGTACACTCGCATACTATTGTTGACTGTATAATACAAAGCTTAACACCTCGTCTGAGAAGATCAACATCAGCAATTGACTGTTCATGACTGGAAACACGTTTGCCTGGTCTCATGAGTCTTATTTCCAGTAGTAGCAGGTGTATGAATGTGTACGGATATTAAGACTACCTCATGAATCTATGGACCCTACATGTCAACAAGAGACTGCTGCAGCTGGCTCTGTCATGGTATGAGGGATGTGCAGTTGGTGTGATATGGGATGCCTGGTCCATCTAGATATGACTTTGTCAGGTGACAGATACGTAAGTATCCTGTCCCATCACCTGTACCCATTCATGTTCATTGTGCATTCTGACAGATTTGGACATTTCCAGCAGGACAAAGTGATACCCCATATGTCAAGATTTGCTACTGAGTAGCTCCAGGAATATTCTTCCGAATTTAGACACGTCCATTGGCCACCTAGATCCAAAGATATGAACATTACTGAACTTAATCTGGGATGCCTTGCAATATGCTATTCAGAAGAGATCTCTACCACTTCACACTCCTATGGATTTGTGGATTGCAGGGATAAATAGAAGGGCTAGGTCATTCCTTTGTTCGACTCCTCGCTGACGCGAGCCTCATGGAGGGGGTTAACTGGAAGTAATCTGACATGTCTCTGTTGCACTTGCTCTGATTTTGCGCTTTTAAAACTATAGTTTCATTCAGTTGCGAGACGATTTTCTGGAGGTTGCATATCCCAAATTAATTTTAATAATACATATTTATTTTCTAATAATGCAAATATTTAATAATTTGTGTGTGTGTATATATATATATAGTTTTAGCCAGGTTTCCTTTTAAATTCTATACTTAAAGTATCCTTTATGTAATATGGCTTCTTGTGCTGTAGCAACATGCCACAACACTTATAGAAATACGAAAGGAAGAGATACTGTATTTCATGCTTTCCCAAAGGACAATTTGCTTTTGTCTAAAGAATGGATACATAAATGTCGAAGACAGGATTCTATTAATGTGAAAAACGCAAGAATTTGCGGCGAACATTTTCTGTGCAGTGATTATGAAGATGACATGAGAAATAGCTTGCTTGGATTGCCGCAAAAGAAACTGTTGAAATGCAATACTATGGCGCTAAAGTAAATTTATCGTGTGCAGTAAACGAAAATAACACCAAGAAATTCGGAGACATTTGAAAAGAAAACTTAATGCAGAGTGCTTATTGAAAGGACTACATGAATTGAAGCCCAAAGAAAATTTATTTAGAGGCCCGAGAACGAAATTGAAGCTGACAATAATAAATGAAAATGTGAATGATTTTGAAATAAAATTCACAAGTGATAATGCCCTAAGTGACAATATCCCTGAATGACCTACGTGTAAAGATAAACAAGAATGTATTGATAATTTGAAGAACAAAATAATATCCTTAGAAAATCGTAATAAAATATTGAAAAATAGAGAAAAGAAAAATTTTATAAAATGTTTGCTTAGCAACAAAGGTGGATGACATCTAGAAAGAAATTTGTAACGGAAATTTAGAAATTAAAATCCTAAACAGCGAAATTTAGGAAAAAACAGCACAGATCGGAGAATTTGGAAAAATGTCTAAAGCATATTTTTACAAAGACGCAGATTAACACATTGCTAGAAAAGAAGGAAAAATTCATTTGGACTAGTGAAGATATTTCACGTTGCATTGTCATAAGAGCTCTGTAGAATACGTTTCTTAAATAGAAATGCATATGTTTTAACCCAAAGAAAAGCAACCCAAAAGGCAAAAAAGGGGATGGTGGTAGCCAATAAATAATATTTCAATAACTTGTAGTTGCACTGTGACTGCACAAGTAAGCATATGTAATATGTTTTGATTTGAAATATTTCTCGATGACATTTTAGAAGTTAATAGTGTAAAGCATATTTTAAATGAAAACTAATTTTGTTAAGTTATTGTTAAGCTTATTTTTATTGTATCCTGTGTTATTATTTATTGAATTTTGTGCTAGCTTAGCATTCTAGATAAAATATAATAGTATAAGATTAAAGTAATTGGCATAAGAAAACCTGCCTCCTTAACCCCCCACTTTTGAAAAATTGAATAATGTTTTTTAGGTGCTACTGTAAGTAAAGTTGTTTTGTCTAAATTTAGATAACAATCTTGCATGCATTAATTTAAATGTAATATTGATGTAAGCCTAAGTTACAAAATTATTAAAAAAATTATATGTTATTATATTGAATCAAGAGAAAAATATCTCAATGTAAAATTTACAATTAGGCTGAAACTAAAATGTAGATTAGCAGAAATTTTGAAAACTATGCCATTTTAAGGTTGTTTTTTGATTAACTTTAAATATCTGTTATTATAGTTATCTTAGAAGCAGTAGTACAGTTTTCTTAGTTAACATGCAGATAAAGAAACGATTAGAAATAAACAGGCATTTAAAGAAAAAAAAAAAAAAAAATTCCTGCAAATTAAAAAAAAAGGAACTTTATGCTAAGAGTAGCGTGTTTTATCTGTTATTTTAAAATTGAGTAAGTACTACTAAATTTTTTAATGTTCAGTGTAAAATGCATACTGCAGTAACATTGTCTCTTCTAAATTATAGCTATCTTTCACACGCAGCTCATTTTAAATGCTGGTTCTTCAGATTTAAAACGCTAATTTTTATGTTGTCAATTGCATCTCTGCGCTCAGTGTCATCAAGGGTACGTCATCACTCCCCACTGCCTGTTTCAGGGGGAAAAGCTCTATGAGCTAGCCCTTCTCTTTTAAGTCCTGTGCGGATTGCCCTGCAAGATTAATCCTCTGAGCACATGACCGGCTATGAGTTTTTTGTCCTTTGTTATATATTAGCTTATAATTTAAGATATTTTGCTTTCTTACTTTCATTAATAATATAAATGACATCTTGATAAATATAAGTTTATGAAAATAGAGACTAAAATAGGTAAATATATATATTTAGCTATCAAAGGCTTTTTAAATACAGGTCTTTATGACAGATCCAAAACCCAGGGCTGCTCAGATGGTTAATGGTGTAAACTACCTCCAGCAAACCTTTAGATAGTGGTGGCTCACGGTTTATTGTAATGGAGGTTCACAGAACCCATTTCAAAAATTAAATATGCAGATATAAGGTAACTTACAAGTTAAAAATACATATGCATTTCCACAAGCTAAGAGAAAAACAATACAACTAAAAGAAGTTCTCATATGTAAAAATTTGCAACATTTTATTTTTTGCAATGGAATATAATATAACCGTAATATTGCTTGGTTGGTTTGGTTGATTATGGAAAAGCACACCAGGGCTATCTGCTTAAGAGGAGGGATCCTTCATGGAGGACTTTCTAAGGGGAACTGGCTCTTATACATAGAGAAAACCACAGGAAGGCCAATGAACCTAAACGCCTTTCACCGTGATTCAAACTTTAGACCTAACCACCTGTCTTCACCAACTTTACCACTCGGTGGCTCATGGGGTAACATTGCTTGCAATATAAACATTGATTACAAAATAGTACACAAAATACGATACAAGTACAATTTTTGTAAATTAAATTCACTCACCTACCCCCTTTTTGAGGGAATCAATTTCAGATTTTGTAACATTTCAACGACTTTTTCATTAAAAAAATAAACAATTTCAAAGCAAGCAGTGGCAACACTATACAAAGAAAACATTTTTATCTTCAGTGTGCAAGACTCTGTATTGGAAATTCTAAAGATCTGCTCATTTTAAAATTAGTTTCTGATATTGCTGTTGAACTGAATTTTATAGTTTGAGTATGTAGAACATGATTTTTAATAAATAAAGGTAATACACAAAACTTTTTTTTTTAAACCTCTTTGGACGTAATTTAAAATCTAAAATCTTTCAGATTTTTTTTTACATATTTATTTTAAATATGCAAAAATAAACAGCTACATAACTGATAACCATAAAAAATATTTTAGTATTTTTTAATATATATCCTGCTTAAAACTGAAATTAGATATGTCCTAAATTTAATGATAAGCTTAGGGAGTTCCATAACAATTATTAAATGGGAATTGACTGTAAATCACCAAACATACTCAAAATCAACTTGATACTTCATGAGTTAAAACGAAATTTCATGCAGATAATAAAATAAAATGAAAAACAATTTTTTACCTCTTTAGGACTGTGCATTTTTGGCCAAAACTTTAATAAACTGTTTACTACCTAAAAAAAAAAAAAAAAAAAAAAAAGCATATTTGAGTGCAACTACATAATTTATATTACATACATTAAAATTTAAAAAAAAAATAGCTAAATTACTCAAGAACTTTGATACTGCTGACTTTACCTGCACTGATTCTAGCACACCTGGTTTTTAATTTCAGATTGTAGTTATCCACATTAAAGCTCTGCAACAAGATTTCTTTTACACAGCAGCAATAAGAGAGTTACTGTAACAATGAAGCAACTTGTAGAATTTTTCTTTCGAAGGTTATGTTATTTTTATGGCAAATCCCACAAGGGCTATTTGCCTAATAGAAGAACGTTCTAAGGGAAAGTGGGTCGTATTCACGTTATATATAGGGAAAAAGCACCAAATCTAACCATGCACATTGTCTGCTACTCTGGGATTAAACCTGATATCCTGGTTACAGCAGTGATAACTAAATGGCCACTGGCAGTATTGAATTTACTAAAAGAAAAATAGATCAGAAAAATCTGTTTGCTCTAACTGCACTGCAAGTGAATTTAATAAATTAAAAATGATCTGCACATTACAAAGATCAATACATAATACATACACTGCCGGAAATTGATCAAATTGGGCCTGACCTACTTGTTAATTATGCCAATGAAATAAAATTAAACTATCATGAAAAACTACAATTTTTGTTTCTTTACAATAAGTAGCTGCCATGGACTGTACTTTAAATGACTTGCACTTCTTCCTCACATAATTAATTCAATCACAAAATAATAAAGAAATTATGCTAAAAAAAATAAGAGATGAATATAGGAATAACAGAAACAGTACCCATCTCTATAACGAAGAGTAAGTGAGTATGTAAGTTCATCACATGATGTAGGGAAAAAATAGGTCACGGCTATAAAAACTGGAACGTATGTTGCAAAGATGATAAAGTCTGGCAATTTGAAGTGAATGTTTTTCAAAATTCAATTATTATTTTTAATAAATATTGAAACAACTTTTTGCGTATCTTTCACCTGATTCTTCCATTTACAAATGAATAAACAATACCGAATTTCTGTGCTTGCACCAGTAGAAAGAATTGAAAAAATCTTTTAAATGAACTTTTTTCACAACTATAATAAAATTTATCAATTTTTCAAAATTGATTTTTGACAATATTATTAGATTTAACCATCACATCCTAAAATCAATGATTTATAGCATCTTAAAATGTTTACAGATTATAAAAATTTTTGCTATATATATTAAAAGTTTTTTTTTTTAATTTCTAATGGCAGATTACACAGACAACTGTAGATACAGACAGCTATAGACATTAAAAAAAGAATGCAAAAAAATTAAATTATATCAACTAGGCCAGGGGTCGGCAACCTGCGGCTCGCAAGCCACATGTGGCTCTTTGGATGTGAAGCTGAGGCTCTTTAGTTCCATACGCAAATATTATTTTTTTTATCAATAAATAAATTTTTAAAAAAAAAAAAAAAAAGAGAGAAGAACTGAAGAAGAGCATCGAGAATTCAATCGGGATTGGACGCAGTCGTTCGCTTTCATATGCAACTCACATAGCCTTCCCACTTGTCTCATTTGCCACGAAAAACTCGCACACAATAAGAAATTAAATTTAGAGAGACACTTCACTAAAGCACATACTCAGCTTGCTAGTAAATATCCAGCCGGCGAAGAACGAATAAAAGCTGTCGACGAGCTCCAAAAACAAAAACAGCAATCAAGTTTCTTGTTAAGTAACTGGATGCAATCTACAAGTGATGTTAATCTGGCAATCTTTGCGGTATCATTAGAAATTGCAGAAAAAGGCAAACCATTCACAGATGGTGAGTATGTCAAAGATTGCTTCATACATGCATCTGAGAAGAACTGTTTTGTGATTTCAAAAACAAACCAGAAATCTTGAAAAAAAATCAAAGATTTGCCACTATCCGCTAAAACAGTACAAGATAGAATAGCTAAAATGTTTTCCAATATAACATATTTGCAAGTGGAATATATTCAACTTTCTTATCGTTTGCTATAGATGAGTCTTGTGACATAAAAGACACGCCATAAGTTGCCTTTTTTATCAGGTCTTCCCGAGATTCAAAAGAAGAACTTATAGGATTGCTACCTCACTCGGGACAAAATTGAGGGGAAGATATAGCGAATGCCGTACAAAAATGCCTTGAAGACAATATGATCAATTTAAATAAAATCGTTTCAATAGCAACTGATGGAACCAGAAGTATGACAGGAAAAAATAAAGGGGCAACAACGATTCTTTAGAGCAAAATAAACCACAATATTCTTACGTTTCACTGCCAAGAAGCGCTTTGTGCACCAAGAAGAGCTTTGAGCCGAAACATTTTCGGGCCAAAATAGTTGAGGTCATGAATTTGGTAATTAAGATTGTTAACAGCATCTTGTCAAAAGCACTCTACCATCGTCAGTTTAAAGAATTCTTAAACGAAATGGAAACTCAGTATTCCGACCTCCTTCTTCACAATAAAGTGGGGATGGCTTTCCAAAGGAAAGGTGTTGAAACTTTGTGCTTGAATGAAATAAATACATTCCTAAAGGAAAAAGGCATTAATCACCTTGAATTAGAAAGCGACAAATAATTGCAAAAATTTACTTTATGGTGGATGTCACAGCGAAATTAAATGAGCTTAATCTAAAACTGCAAGGAAAGGGAAACCCAGCCTATGTTTTGAAAAAAGAATTAGATTGTTTTGAAGAAAAATTATCTTTAGAAAAATTTTCTTATAGAAATCTTTTTGAAGAAGATATTCAGAGAGGTAAATTACTTAATTTCCAATTTCTAAAGCAATATCGCGATAAAACCAGCGCGACTGTCGACACGAATTACTTCACTTAAAAAATTAAAGATGAATTTGCTGACAGATTTGAGCAATTCAAAACCAACAAAACCACTCTAGCATTCATAGTAAATCCTCTTAACACAAAACAGTAATGAAATCCACATTGAGCCATTTGGAACTGATACTGAATCTCTAGAAATGCAACTGATCGATTTAAAATCTAAAGCTTATTGGAGTGGAAAATTTACAGAGTTGAAAAGCAAGTTGGAGGTTCAGAAATAAATGTGTGCAACGCAACAAAAGTAGACAGCTTTAAAAGGAATGCCGCGAGTTGGGGCACTTATATTCGACACATGGTATAGTCTTCCAGATTGCTACAGTGAGGGTGAAGAAGTTGACATTTGGAGTCCTGACTATTTTCGGATCGACATATTTGTGCGAGCAAGCGCTCTCTTGCATGAATATAATTAAAAGTACAGTAAGAAACCAACTAACAAATAAAAATTTAGAGTCGTGTTTGAAACGTAAAACAAAATGTTATGAGTCAAATTTATCCAAACTTTCTAAAACCATGTAAAGCCAACGCTTCCACTGAATATGTTTGCTCAATTGTTTTTTTATTGAAGTACAAGTTAATGTTGTAAATAAATGTTTAACTGTTTTAATGTTTTACCTAAATAATAATTATCTAATAATGCCATATATATATATATTATCCAATTTGTTGTGAAAAACACTTTTTATATATGAATAAATAGATATTTTTTCTTATGAATAAATAGATTAGTTTTTTATCAAAATATTTTATTTATGTGAGTACTATTTATTGTTGGCAAGAAAACATTTGGTGGACCTTTAAAAACTTTGAAATTTTGTAAATTGTAATCTTTGACTCTTCCGACTCAAAATGTTGCCGACCCCTGAACTAGGCAATATTTTATAACATACTGGAGTATGACTTGAAGTTTCAATTGCAGGTGGCTTGGCTATCATGTGATCATGGACACCTAATTCCAATAATATGATCTCATTATATGTCAACTTTTTTACTTATTAATTTTATTTTTTACTCGCTGGAACAAAACACTTTCAAAGAAATTACACTTGCTATAAAATTCTTCTGCTCCATTCCCTATTCATTTTATAAGCTTTTTTCCTTTCTTTTTAAATATATTATAAAGCACAAAAATAAAAATTTGAAAAATTAAAATAACTGGCATTAGTACACCATTGCTCTACTTCCGCTTTAATAAAGAGGGGCGAACACATTTCCCTTAACTTAATGACTCTCAAAGACAAGTTTCAAGCCATTCACTTCCTTTTCTCAATTTTGATCAATTAGCAGAGCTCATATGGACAACTTTTTGCCAGAAGCAACTTTAAAGATCTGAAAATGAAAACTTGTATGTGGTAACTAAACTGGTTAAAATTTTTCTGATAGACAGGTTTAAGATGCAAATGGTAACTTTCCTCCAGTTTTTATGAGTTTTACAGATCGGCTTTCTTTTTCATTTGCAGAGATAAGTATGAAAGTTAAAATGAATTATGCCTAATTTATTGAATTTTGATACCTAACAATTTATTTAGTAGAAATTATTATTTCATGCATACAGGTTCGTAATGCAATGATTGCACACAGAACCCATGACAGTTTGATGGAATTTATTTCCCCACAAAAAAAAAAAAAAAACACTTTACAGTCCTGGAACTTTCAATGGCAATACTACTACAGCTGCTTTCAGTATAACACAGCACAATCAGTAGTTACCACTTCGAACTACCAAGAATGTTAAACCCAATGCAATGTAAAGCACATCTAAAGAGCGAAGCTTGCATGGAGCTCAATACTCTAAAATCTACTCTGAACTGAGAACTGATGTTCTTTCTGGTCTTGTATAGTTTTTTTCCAGACCCCGAGAAATCTTTGTTACCTTCCATTTCTCGAAGCCCGTGTATGGCTATACACGGTTAAAGTTACACATAAGGATTATGGTGGCATGGTGGTTATATCTTGGTGTATATCCTTGAATTGACATGACTCCTTTTCTTTAAACATAACTTTTATTTACACACACCATAACTTTAAACACAACTGAAATAACAGAACGAATAACAAAACCACTAAACTAAAATTCAAAACATCCTATGCTGCAGCTAAGGGCGAAACGAGCGAGTTCACTGCCGCGCTAGCAGTTTTT